GAGTAAGTGCACGTGGCGACATATTATAGGCTACCTGATGTAGCTCTACGTTAGTTAACCTGACGGAATAATTTTTCGTATCTTAGAGCCACTCAACATTATCAATGATATCTAGCTTATTATAAAAATTAATTTAACTATTTATGTTTTATGTTATTAATTTGTAAATGAGATTCTTTTAATTTGAGTCATTGTCATAAAAATATTATTTGACGACTAAATGAGATTTGTGATTTCTTCCCCTGATACCAACTGTCAAAGTCATTTTATATATTAAAAAAAAAAGATAACATTTTTTTAAAAAATGAGCCTATATGAGTGTTATGTATGTGTTATTTCAAAAGTAAGAAAATATTATGTTAATAAAAACAAAACAAATTCATTAATAAGCATAATTGAAGGCCTACAGCAAAATTTTTTTTGCTAAAGCCCAGTTCAATGAGACCTCCAAAACAACTAATGGGTAAGGCCCATCTTAGAAGCCCATCAGATTTATCTGAGGAGCCAGTCAATTTCAGCTTTGTAATGTTAACAGAATCGTATAACCTGTACCTGTTTGGTAAAACCACTGTATTTAAAGCTAGTTTAGCAGACAATTATAATTTCAACAATTTAAACACATCACCTGTTAAATAACCTGTGGCTTAATCCTTCTTTAATTTCGGTTCAGTTTATTCAGGTTAGTTTGTGTTGTCCATTTTTGATCTGTTTACTCTATGACAAGCTTCCATTCAGATCTTTTTTTTTTTTTAAATAATGACTAATCTATAGAACATTTTAGGTAGACCTGTCAATTTTGGGTTACGGGTCAGGTTCGGGTCGAACCCGAAATTGACCCGGCACTATTCGGGTTCGGGTCGACCTGACCCGTTTTTGCAAACGGGTCAATTTTATGGACCCAAACTCAACCCGCTTCGGGTTCGGGTCAACTTGACCCGACTCGCGTACGCAGGACGCTGGAAGCGGCGCGGAACCGCTGGACGCGGACGCCTGACGCTGGAAGCGATTTTTTACTGCTCTTTGCTCTTTTAAGCAGTTTTTTAGTACAATTTTTTTTTTGAGTTAAGAAATTATCTACTGAAAAACTACTTTATAAAGCAATAAAAAATTGTCCCAAATGAAGCCTAAATCATATATTGACAAGAATGTCATGTACATAATGCATTTTTTTCTCCTACAATAATCAAATGCATGAACATTTTAGTTTGCATTTCTTCAAAATTTCTGCATTATCTTGAGTGAAAGGAGTGTTCTTCAATACTAACATATTTATATTAATATAACATTTTTGTGCAAGCGATAGACCCATTCAATTCTCTAATTTAGGTTTAAGGATATGAATTAAGTATTTCAATTTGTTATTCTCAAATAAGATAGTTGCTATTCCACTCAACCTTTTTCTTTACCTTTGAGTGATTTTTTGTTTGCCATAAAACTTTAGTGCAAGCTCCTTCAAACAAACAAAGATTAATGTTCATATATATTTTTATAGTAGTTTAAATGAAGTTATTGATACATGTGTTTAATATTTAATCTAAATTTATCCAAGGATGACCCCCGGCCTTACCAGTAGGTAGCCTGAGAGTAAGAGCGGAACCCGGGGAGAAAGAGAAAAAAAAAAAAAAAAAAAAAAAAAAAAAATCGAGATTTGAGTGGTTATGGAGAGTAGAAAAATGAGCTATGGAATCTATATTAGCCTCATAGCAAATAGTATGAGGTCTAAAAGATCAAAAGTATGCATCTTCATCCTTTATTTATAAGGCTTAGATTGTTACATTGAATACTACACTTAGAAAAAATTGAACGTAAAATATATGGTGTGACTATTATAGACTATTGCCGACATGCGGATTAGCGGGTTGGTTGTCACAGGATCGCTGCCTCTAACGTGGCTCTCTACTATGAGGCGAGTCCCTTAAGCGAGTTTTTGAATGTAGAAAAGTCATTTGGATATGTGGGTGAGTCCATATAATTGCTACTCAAACCTCGAGGTGTGAAGGGCGAATTGCCTAGAGCTATAAAGCCACGAGCAAAGGTTTTTAAGACATATGCTTCATGCAGCTAGATTGAGAATATCGGTGGTGAGATAGTAGCCCTAACTATTAATAGCTGCCATAGGCGAGTGATCCTTACCTTGACGAGCGAACTTGAGAGATCAAAATAGTCTTGATGAGTCATCCATTAGCTCATTAAGTCTCATTAATTGATACTAAAGGGGCAAAGAAAATTGATAGAAAATATATGAACATTACCTCATTAATTGATACATATTTTCATTTATTTTCTTCACTCTCCAAGAATATCTATCATGGCCTTTATATTGGCCTCTTGCAACTTCAGCCCATCCACATGAATGTGCTTATGCACATATAAAGGAGATGGTTCAAAGTATGCTCATAACAAGGCTTGAAACATGTTTGAAGATGGTTCAAATAAGGTTTATTTTTGAACATAGGATTCTCCTTTCTTCTCGTTCATATTGTACCTCGGGCTGCCGACATTAGAAGGAGCGAAAACTTTTTGTTCGTTTTATGGGCATCCAATCACCTAATTTATATTCCAATTACTATTTGTCGTTGGAACAACTGTAACTCGTTTTGATGCCTTATGTTTATGGGTTGTTTGATTAGTTGCGTGTATAGTGTAATGCATTCTAAAAGCAATCATTCCAAGAATTTAAGGCTTCATTTGGGACGGTTTTCTTAATTTTTGTACTAGAAAATTGCTTTAAGAATCAGTAAGAAAGCCGTCTCAAACGAAGCCTAAGTGTTTGATTAGGTTAATTTCAAATGCATTGTAAATTATTGGTGAATTTGAAATTAACCCCCTAGTTCAATTTTGATATATTTAGAAATCGCAAACTGCCATCAGCCACCACCTTTACCATCAGCCATTGTTTGTCACCACCGCCAATACTCACTATCATCCGCCGACCACCAGCTGCCGCAATTTTTTGGGCTTTACATTGCATTCATTTTACTTTAATCCAAACAACAAAAATTAATTACTAGCATTTATTTTACACTCATTTAAATAACTCCAAACATTTCAAATATATTACATTATTTTTACACTGTATTTTTTTTTATTCTCCATTCCTTTCTCAGCAAACCAAACAACACCTTAATCAAAAGAATGACCTTTTTAGTTTGTAAAGATTTATCAAGTAACTATTGTTATACTATATTTAAATCTTCATAAATATTATATTCAGCTTCAATTTATGAGAACCTTTTGTTGGTTTTATGGGACGGCTTCCTTACTGCTTTTAAAGCAATTTTTTAGTACAAAAATTTTTTGAACGAGAAAATTCGTCCCAAACGAAGCCAAAATGTTAATAAATGTATTTAAAGAATCATATAATTTCAAAAATTCAGAAGCATCAAATTCTCTAAGTTTATCATAGCCTTGAATTTATGTGACCTGAGCATCATAATCTCTATAGAGACATAATTTGTCTGAATATTTGTATTACATAAAATTAAATGTAGGATTTTTTTTTTGGTCTTCTTTCTATTATAACAAGCCTAAATAATAAAAAGAATAGTATTACTAAATTGAATAAAATGTAATAAAAATGTAGAGGCCGTTGCTATGAAGTGTTGCCATAGATTAATTACATGAGCTTTGAAAAGGGAAAATTGAGCATTGTTGTTGTTCAAAAGACCGCGTGCCTGCTAGCTAGGCGAAATTATTACGTACGGTTATTGGATGTTGTCTGAAGGCCAATCAAGACGTGCCACGTCACTAATACGCTGTGTACTATTATGTGTACAACTGTGTAGTGGGTGAAGTGGGGCATTCTGATTGGCTTCCGGACGGTCCGGTGATTGCAAGTAATATTTTCTTCATTGCTAGAGAGTTATAACATATTTTTATATAACAATCCCAAAATAAACTTGTGAATACATTCTTTAAAGTTATAAATAAAAGAGAGATTAGATAACTTATCTTTAGTATGAGAAAAAGTTAGGGTTTATTTAGAACGTTTATAGTAAAAGTGATCATAAAATAGATGCATGAAAATTATTTTTTTAAAGCCGTTATAAAAAGTAAAATTTTAGTATTAAAAATTATTAAAAGCAACGAGAAAATCATAATCAAACATTACTTCGATTGGAGAAATTATTTGGTGTGGAGACCCAATGTAGCGCTGCGTCCGGACTCCAATTAAAACTAGGCACGTGGATCATCCAAGTGGATTTTTTTGTGCATTACTTTTTGAAAATATCATAAAAATCTTTGTGAATTATTTTGCAAAATGAGTTGAAAATATTTTTGAAGGTTGAAACGTGACAATGAGAAGTAACTGGACGAGAATAAGGAGTCCTGTGCAAAAAAAAATAAAAATAAAAAAAACTCATTGAAAAAGATGAAAAATGAAAGAAAAGGCAAGCGCAATGAAAGTGCAATAAAAGCACAGTAAAAGCACATTTAAAGCTCATCAACAATTCAGAAGAAATTGAAAGATGAAAATAACTATTTACATAATCAATAAATGAAATGATACCATGAATGCAAAAACATAATGAAACCTCACATAAAATGCATGAAAAATAAGGGGAAAAAAGTATTATTTCACACTAAAGGTACAATAAAGGCGCATTATTTTTTTACATATTTATAAAAGCAAAATAGACGAACTTCTGCTACCCCCGATTGGTCCTGGAAAATGAAAAAGCCAAATATTTGGAAAAACAATTTCCGAAGAATCAAACGAGAGGAGAGAGAGTGAAACGTTAAAAATATCGAGTGAAAAATAAAAAAGCTTTATTTCACGCCTTTTGAACTCCTACATTCAAATTTTTAGAGTCGGGTTAAGTCGGTCGGGCTGAAAAGACGTAAAGACAGTAATAAAAAAAAAAATCAAAATGGATAACATGTCTAATTTTAATTGGAGTCCAGATCTAAAAAGCTTTAAAAAAATTATTCCAAACATACCCTTAAATTCCGCAAAGAATACGTGTGAGGCTAAGTTAAGTGATATTGTAATTTATTCTGAGATTCCAATTAAAAAGAAAGAAAGAAAGCATACGAAGACAAAAGAAGCGACGGAAGCGAGCATCGGCGGCTCGTCCGCGCTGCCGACTCCCCTTAACATGATCTACTACCCCATCTCCTCCGTCACGACCATGGCCTCCTCCTCCCCTCATTCCTTCCTCAAACCCCGTCGCCTCCACCACCAAAACCCTAACCCTAACACTAACCGTAAGCTGACCTCGTCCTCCCTTTCTCCATCCGCATCCTCTTCTTCCTCCTGCAACCACTCCCCTTCCGCAACACTCGACCTCATCATTCTCGTCCTCGTCCTCTTCTCCTGCACCTTCCTCATTGCTTCGTCGTTCTCGCACATCATCCGCGCTGTTTCCTCCCTGATTCCTCTCATCCCAATCTCGGACCCTCTCCCATTCCTCGCCGGCTTCCTTGTCTTTCTTGCTGCCTTCATCGGCGCAGTCGAGATCGCCTGCTACCGAGCCTTCATATGGTCCCGCCGATGCGAGAATCCGCGATGCCGGGGTTTGAGGAAGGCGATGGAATTCGATGTCCAGATTCAGACAGAGGATTGTATTCGGTTTATCTCGTCGGGAACCGGATCGGGTTCGGCGACGGCGGTTGCGTGGAAGGAGATTGACGAGCTTCCGTGGAAGGGGGGTCAGCAGGGGAATAATCCGGATTATGAGTGTTTACGTGCCGAGCTTCGGAGAATGGCTCCGCCGAATGGTCGGGCTGTGCTGCTTTTTCGCGCTCGATGTGGTTGCCCCTTGGCGAAGCTCGAGGCGTGGAGCCAGAAACGTGGTCGCCGGCATAAAAAGTGAGTGGGATTTGCATATGATGCCTCATGTTTTTATGATTTGCTGCTGTTATTTTATGGAACCTTTTTTTCCCAAATTTGTTTCGATGGGTTGAGATGTTACACTGGCAGTGTTAATTGGTGCGAATATATATATCTTAATCACTTGTGATGATGAGCGGGATTTATAATGGCATCCATGATGTTATTTCCATGATTAAATCATAAAATAGGTACATTTGGTACTTTAGTATATATTATTTGTAAAAAAAAAATGCTCTAGAATAAATGAAAAAGATGGAATAATTTACGGCTTATCTGGAATAAATGAAAAAAGATGGAACAAATTGAGTAATTCTTGTAAGATAAGAATCTTTGGACTAATATATTATGGTATATGATATGCAAATTTTCGGATTTAAAAATGATAGTGTTTGATTTATAATGCTAGAAGATCAAGACACGGGTTTGAGTAGTTTTGATTTATAAATTAGATACAAACTAGTTGATATAAAGCTAATGATGATGAAGATTATTAATCTTTTTGTACGGTGGACATGATTTAAGAATGTGCTGAACCTGACCCTCTCAATTCTACGTTTAGAGTTAATATTTTCTCTCGGGTTTTCCTGATTAATGAACCTAGGTTACCTGGGAGTAAGAACTTATGTAGATCATTTACATATTAGACATATGATTTGCCATGTATTAAACATGAGTTTGGTTGGAATGGTTGAGGTACACATTCTGACGGATGGAACTTGAGTGGGGATTTGTTCTCGTTGAAGTTGCTTCTACTTATGACATTAGTTAGTGAAAATGGGAACAACCAAACTAGATCCATTTACAGTAGATAGTTTTGTCTGAATTTTGGCTGAGAGATCACTTATAGAATTCTAGTTCAGATGGTGCAGATTGTTAATTTCCTTTTATCTTATCAAGGTAGCTTCAGGCTGAATGTATTAGTTTCATGTATCGAATATGCTAGGCATGGCCTTGCCCGCCTTTCCATCCATCTTATCGCTGATAATTTTGAATGAGCAGGGTTGAGAAATGCCATTTCGAGATAGTAGAATACTATCTTTATGTAAATGGTTAATTCAAGAGAAATTAATTAAACTTGATTGACCCTTGCAATGAGGCTTGGTTTGACTAGGATAATGATTTTAAATTTTATTATTTTTCCTCGAGAATGATTGACATAGTGGAGAGAAAGGATTCATGTAGCCGACCCCACTTAGTGGGACAAAGGTTTAATGTTGTTGTTGTTGTTTTTGTTCCTTGAGAATGATGTTCAAATGATTTTAGGCACGTGGATGCTTCTTCAATGAATCTGGCATATATTCAAACTCATTTCTTCTATTCTTCCAAAAATCTTTGGTTGTTCAATCTTCATTTACATTTATTTTCAACACTAGAGCAAATTATACCCTAAAGCAATCAAGTGTATCTTTATTGAATACTCTACAAATAAAAAAAAGCACAAATATTATTCTTTACTCATTAATGGACATACCTTTTCTTGAATGCCAACTTTTTTACCCCAAACTTGAAATTCAATTAGAGGAAATTCAAGAACCAGGATTTTAAGTTTAAAATTCAAACACTATCATCTTTCATCAAACCTATGGACAATTAATATTTCTCATTACCTCTCATACTATCTACTAAGTCCTTCGTCACCTTATAAGTACATCTAACATATAAAAGCCTCACAAGAATTGCAAACTTCCTCTTCACATTATCAATGCAACCAACCTATAGAGAATGAGCTTCAAGGCAATATCTTGAGGGAGAAGAAAAACCAAGAAACAACACACCCAAGAACTCGAATTTAGTTTAAGGATCAATTAATTACAAAGTGATGAGAATAAATCTGTTGGTGATGATACTAATCTCCATTGCTCTATTGCATTAAGAAAAGGAGTGAGTTCGTTCACCAAACATTGTCCTATTGCCTTAGGAAAAATTGAAAATGGACTAGCCCAATCAAATTTTGTTCCTACAAACTCTTAAACTGCAGATTTTCTCACCCAAGTTTTATCTATTATTTGTTATGATAAACTAATTAATAAGTTGGGCATAACCAACATATAAAACCCAATTTGAGGTGGGGCATTGAAATATGATTGAATTTGCATCCATTACCTTTCATTATATAGTTAGTCAATAATTTAGGGATGACAACTTTTCATCTGTAACAATCCAACTATTCATGGACAATAGCTTTCTATTCAAAAAAATCTAACAATTCTTGACTATTGCATCCAATTTCCATTGTGTAGTTAATTCTAGATTTAAAGAATTAAAGATTGATTTTTTCAAATTAGTTTCTTTCTTTGATAGTTATTTCTCTACCTATTGATGCATAGTTTCCCATCTTATTTTTTACACAAACAAAAGAAGAAAATTAACTTAAAAATTTTTTGCTTTACCTACTCTATTCTTTTCTTATATATTATGAGAGTTCATCATGGGAACATCTTGTTCTTATTTGAGAGCTATACATAGATCCATCGAAGTGGTATTTTAACCTAGAGGAAAAAAAATGACAATGGTTATGTGATGTAAATAGATGCACCGTGATACTAAAAGTTGATGAGAAAAGAAGTCCTTTGAAATTAAATATTCTAAATATATGAGACTATGATACTAATTGATGTACAATATGCTTCTAGAAATGTAGGTAGAGAGTGCTCTAAAAGATATTGGGTGTATGTCAACTGATTTAGTCAAAGTTTTAAATGTTAAAATTGTAGAGAATCGAACAAATATTAAGTATAATTTTAAATCAGTCAAATTTGATAGAATCACGAGAGAAAAAAGTTTGAAATATTGAGAGGGGACCGTAAGGGTTTTGAGTCCTTAGATAGAAAGGGAAACAAAAAGAAATAGAATCATATGATGGACAGATGGAGAGAGAATTAAAAAATTAAGAGGGAGAAAGGGGAAAACTGACATGGAGAGAGAGAGAATAAGATAGGAGGAATTTTCAATTAATTCAACTCAAAATAATTCTTTTTCTAAAGCCCAAACCACCTTTTATATAGAAAAATGTATGATTATTATAAATAAATCTAGATAAAGGATAATTACAATAATTTATTTAAGTGAAGAGAAATTATTTGAAATTTAGTGTATTTCATTGAGGATTTTGCTCTATATTTATTCAATATTATTTTAGATTTCAATTGATAATTTCTACCCATAGAAACTAGTAGTTATATTGGAAGTAAAGGAAGATATTCAGCTTTTGCATGTTTATTTTCCTAAAGATTTAAGAGAGATTTTCAGCTCTTGAGGCCTACAATTTATCAATGATGGATGGCAAGATAGGTCACTATTTATGTCAATACTCCTTAAGCTATAGGTATGTATTTTAGATGCTTAGTTTGTAATGATATTCTTGAATGTGGAGCTTGATAATCCTTTTGTTAGGATGTTAGCTAACTTCTTATGTGTTTGAACATATGGGATACATACTTTCAACTTTTTTTTTATGAAGTCTCGATTAAGTGTTTGGTTTAGCCATAAGGGATCTTGTCCAATCATCATTAGTGTATGCTTATACATTGTGCCTTTCATTTCATTTTGAAAAAGATTTCTTTTTCTAGTGTTTCTATGAGATGTTGAAGAGTTTTGTGTGCTAACTGTAGATGTGGTTCATTATGATTATGCATAAATTGACTTAGAACAGTTATACTATAGGCTATGTTTAGTTTTGTGTGGGCAAGGTAGATAATATTTCAGGTCTATCTTTTTGATACCTCTATTTATGAACTTTTGGTCCATCGCTCGCCTTTCCATGTAGCCATATTCAACTGGAATTTTTGAACATGTGGAACCTATCATACTTATCTCATTTAAGAGATCGATGAAGTATTTTTATGAGAGATGAATATCCCATCTTTGGGAGCACTTCAATTTAAGGAAATATTTGATTCTTCCCATAACTTTGGCTTCAAATTCTTTGGATAGTTGATCTTTCAATCTTCTTGTTTCTTCGAAATTATCTTCTATTGTGATTATGCCATCCACATAAATTATGAGAATTGTAGTTTGGTTTTATTAGATTTATTTATTAATAGTGTGACTGATGCGGACATCGGTACGAAGATTTAGCGCATCTATCACAAGCGGCGTCGTAAATCGACGGGCATTATTTTAATTTTCATTTATGTATTATTTTCTGAATTTTAGCTCTTATTTTATGTATTTTTCTATTTTAACCCTAGGATAGTTTATGCGAGTGTCTTGGCCCAATGGACATTTTTGTAATTTTGATTTTCTCATGTTATGGCCTATATATAAGGCCTTAATCTATTGTAATGGGGGGTTAATGAATATGAAATTTTTGTGTTTTTCCACACTTGTGCTCTTCTTGTGAGAGAGCGTTTGTGAGATTCCTATGGGTGGAATCGAAGTTGTCACTAGCCGCAAGATGGGTTCGGGCTCGTGATTTGAAGTCCCTTGGAGAAGGGAAATCAGATCACCCGTCAGTCTTCGGAAGAGTCCGAGGCTCGCGGTTTTTATACGTTTGGTTTGATTTTCATCCTTTATAGGGCTAGGGTAAACCTCTCAAACTTATGCTCTTGGGTAATTTTTTAGCTCATATAAAGCTTTTAACGTGCATGTATTGTTAGTATTGAAATCTTGATTAAAATATGGTGGAGGCTTCATAAAGGATTCTTCTTTTAGTTATCCATGCAAGACTATATTTTTTTACTTTCAACTATTGTAAGAATAAGTTGAGGTTGGTTGCCAATGATAGAAATATCTGAATTGTGTTTAGCTTTGTGACTTGCAAAAAATTTCTCCATAATCTACTCCCTAGGCCTAAGCGTAGCATTTTTTCATAAGGTTAGCTTTATCTTTTAAGTGTCCCATTTACATTGTATTTTGGAAATTGTATCTTTTTACATCCTATTAATTTCATTCATTTTGATAATTCTTCTACGTTCTTTTGTAGGGATTCATTTATTCGATTATGACTTTTTTCATTCTTTGTTTTTAAGTGCTTCTTGGATCATTTTTGGAATCTTGATATTATTTATCTTTGGAATAATGATTTTATGGGTGAAAATATTAGAGAGTGAAATAAAGTTGGCTATTAAAAGTTGGGTGCATATTCGAGTTTCTTTTACTA